TGTATTCAGCCAATATTAATTTTACCCATGCAGAAGTTAAACGTCTAGATGGCCCATACCAACAAACGGTCAAACCAACGCATCTGAACTTATTAATCTTAAAATTATGCATTTAGTCTGAGATAATTATCTAGACTTCCTCTCTAATTAATAGGAAGGGACAGGCACCTTAAGAGGATGATTCATCTCTTTTTAAGATTGGCATAATGAAATGTTGGAAGTGATGCTCATGATCTTTTTTCACAGGCAGAAAGGGAGCCTAAACACCTAGTTTAGACTAGATGTATGCAAAAGGAATAAATTTACATGAAATAAATCCCACCTTGATTGAGGGTTGCCTGTTTTATGTGCTCAGCATAAAACATGAAAAACAACTTTATGTAATAAACAACCACTATGTTTTTCAGTTAGTATAACGTGCTCTACCACCCTTACTGGTGTGACAGTTTCTTAGTCTGTGAGTAATTCCACTGAAATCTGAGAACGGTGGACAACTCTTCATGAGTTTTAGTTGCAAAATTTTGGTCCAAGGGATGCATATAAGTATTTTTCCTTTTGAGATTGCATAGGAATCTGATGAATATTCCATCTTAAATATTTTATTATTTCATTACTCTCAAACAAAAGATACATAAGAGTGATTACATACAATAGCAAGGATTATTTTATAGGAATATTGGTAATTCTCTGATTGGAGTCAGCTACAGCCAGCCCTGTATCTAGGTTACAGTCACGTTTGATCAGACAAATAAACTTTATCTCTGACAGAGTTCTGACAGAATAGAAATTATATTCCCCACTGCTACCTGAGCCAGATGATATTTCAAGGAAGGTGTTGTCAGAGGTGACCAACCAACAGACTGTGGGTTCAGCCTGACTCTGTGGTTCACAGAATACTCCCTGCTGCCTTCTTGCCTAAGGGCTACACACCCACAAGGCGACCAAAACAGCCTGTGACCAGCCAGTAACTACTAGATTCTATTACCTTCCTTCATGAGGTCCTTTTCACAGAAGAAAAAACACTTTAGCTCCTTACATATGACAAGAAAGAGTCTGTTAATGTGCATGGGCACTGTTCAGTGATTCACATGGATAGTGTACATTTTGGTCATGTCACTGGAATGCACCTGGTCAAGTATTACCTGGTCTCCTGTGCACCTGTTCTCCTGACCCCTATCACACCACAGAGGATAAATTCATTCTCATCACAGGACAAAGATGCACATGTTTGTCCTGTCACATAGGGGGAAGGAGAAGAAAGAGTAATGGTGTACTTATCATCTGATACACTCAGATCGTTTGATGGAGAAAAGGGTACTGCAAGCAGCCCTCTCATTTGTCCATAAAAAGCCATTCAATATTCCCCATTGCAGAGCATGAGCACAGCACAGTATTAGAAGGCAAGTAAACTAATCGAGAGGAAATGGTTGTGTCTGGACTATTACTTATATCCAACCTTCGCATTCTTTCCCAGAAACACCATTAGAAAGAAGTCGTATTAGAAAAAAGCATTAGAGTATAAGGAAAAAACATGCCTCCCATGTTTATCAAAACAAAATATCACTTTTATGTGCATTCGGATTATTTCAATTTACCAAGCTACTGAAAACACCACCACTTTTTCACGGTAATGTATTGGAATGCAGGTGCCAACATACTGGCAGCTGAGAGCTGAAGTGGGGGGCTCTGTGGGAAGAGATCAGGGGCTGCCCTGGGACAAAATCAGTCATTCCAGCCAGCTGTGCAATGGACCCATGGCAGCACACAGCTGAGCCCATCAGCCAAGCTGCTGGCACCTTGGGGAAACTTAGTTAAGAAAGGGCAAAAAACACTGGGGAGGAAGGAACATAGAGAGAAGGGGGCAGGGGGAGGAGGGTGAGTAGAGAGTGAGGAGGAGGCAGGAACAAGGCCAGAGAAGTAGGAGGTGCTCCACACTGGAGCAGATATGTGCCCAAAGGGACTGCAACCCCACACCAGGGGATAGGAAAAAAGGAGCAACCAGGAGCAGCAGAAGGAAATGGATGGACACTGACTTTGTCCTCCTGTGCTACCCATTGCCTCACCGAAGGGACCAAGTGCAATCTGCAGCAGTAACACGGCAGGAGGAGATGTCAGGATTGAAGGTGTGAAGACTAGGAAGGTGGAGGACAGGAATCTGAAGTTGAGCCAGTGAAAGTGGGAGGAAAGGTGGTTTTTCTGCATTTTTAAATGTTTTTTGTTGTTTCCCAATATTGCAAGCAGAAAATAAATATTTATGCTACCTGGCAATAACTTAAGTTTAATTTCCAAAGTTGTTTTGACCATGACAGTACCTGGCAAGTGATTTTCCTGTCTTTATTTCAACCCATGAATCTTCTCACTCCTGTTCCTCCTGTTTTTTATCCTCCTCTCACTGGGGAGGAGGGGAGCAAAGTGAGCAAGCAGCTGTGTGGGTGCCTGGATGTCAGCCAGGGCCAACCCACCACATTTAAAAAGAAAAGGGATAAATAGCAAATTACTTTCATTGATTACCAATAGCCAAAAGTTTCTTTGCTATGATCCAATTCATCTAGGTTCTAAAAGTGAACCTTTTACCAGGGAGAGAAATGGCAAAGAATTTTAAGTAAAAAGTAATTCAATTTGAGATCAGCTGACTTAGGTGTTGCTGGTGTAAAAAGGAGGCTCACAAGACATAAATGAATAGCTTCCCCTTCCTCTTAACTTGTACTAGTAACAGACACTTAAAATAAATGAGTGTAGCTGCTTATTGAAGACCAAGTTCCTTTTTCTACAGTTTCTGAAACAAAGGAAGAACTGGTTTATATTATTTCTGCTGTACAAATAATATTCAGGGAATGGTATGTTCTCATTCTTTACATATGCCATTAACACATGACAAATTGTTTGGAATTTTTTTGGAAAAAATCCTTCTAGTGGGGAAAAAAGTGAAATATAAAGAAAAAAATTTTTAAAATGTTTTAAATTTTAAAATGAAATTGTTCTCCATTACTTTTACATCTAGAAAGGTAGCCTGCTTATCATTCACAAAGTGAAACCAAACCACTTCTGTTGTTCTTTTAATCTGGGAGATATTTTTACTCATTATTTTGAACAGGGCTAAAAGATTCACCCCAAAATCACCCATTTTTTATAACCTAGTATAAAATTAGAACAAAGGGAAGATAATTATCAATTAATTTCTTTTTTTCCCCAATTAACATGGTGGAAAAAAAAAAGCTTCAGAAATGGGGAGGAGGGGCAGAAAATAAGGTGGTAAGTAATTTTCTAACCAGCTCTAAAGCAGACATACTCCACTAGCATTAGCCACTGTAAATACTAAAAGTACAAAATAGCTTTAAAATCAAATACAATTATTGGAAAACATATTTGAAAACAAAAGGCAAGGATCATGAAATTAGATCTTACAAACTAGGAAAATATTTATCCTGGAAAGAACACTTGTACAATTAGGAAAAGAAGGATTCTGAACTGCATAGTGGTTATGTAGCTGCCTGACTACAAACTACATATTTCAGAATCTTCTAAAAAATTTGCAAGCCAAAGGGTAAAGACATTTACACAGTAAGGCATACATATTACCCAACTTTTTATCCCAATTCCCAAGATCTGATAATTTACTAATATCAATAAGCATACAAAGGGATAACTGACTTACACCACCATCAAGAAAAAAGATTGTGAATATACTTAGCTTGACAAAATATTTGATGGATATAACTTAAACATCATAGGATTAGACCACAGTCAGAATGAAGGCCTCAAAATGAAGGATATGTGAAACAGCAAATAATTCTAAGACTAAAAATATCTGCCTAAAATACAAGAAAAGGAAGTGGATCCTTAGAGTCTGACAGAAAAAAAAAAAGTCTTGAACAAACAGTGTAGAAGTGCATATATCATATTACGACAATACAGGAAAAACAGCAATTTAAGCCACAAGGTCTCAAGGTTTGTTCTGCCCTGTGAGTAGAAAACTCCTGCTGCTTCCCTCTTCTCCTCCTTCCCTCTCCCTCCCCTTCTGTTTTTTAATCTAGTTCTTTCTTTCTTTCATAGGGTGCTGCGCGCTGTTCTAGCGAGCGGGAAAGAACGACGCACCAGTATGATGCAAGTTCAAATCCAACTTTATTAAACAAGCTGCGTTCTTAAATATTCTTTCTGTTCTCCTGTACACGCGATCACACGCCGAGCACGCAAGATAGAGCAAGCTTGATTGGGTAGCACGCGTTGTCCACGCGCCCTTAGTCCTTAAGTGATTGGTTAGTCTAGAAAGATGCTATATGCGTATTATTCTTGCTATCAGCATTTTCCCATCCGCATTTTCTTACTTTTCTGCTAACTTAAATTGCAACTGTATCCGTTAGTTTTAGCTCATGGCCTTGGTTCACAAACCCTGGTATTCATTCAGTATCGCTAAGGCCCCAACAATAGGGACTCTAGGAAACTTGTGAATTCTTACTGTTAAAACACAACACCGTCCCTTTGCACATAGGAGCTAAGAGGCAAAATCCCAACAAGATAAAATGAAAATTACCCTTAGCTCAAGACTATAGTAAATCATTTTCACCTTATTTTCTATGACATTTTAAGAGCATAAATAAATATAAAAAGTATTCTGAAAAGGCTTTTTTTCTATTTTCTTGTAGTGTACCAGTATTAACTTCCTTTTAACATTTGAACAGTTTCTCAATTATAGCTTCAAGCATCTCATTATCTTTTGGCCTGGACTGGAGCATGCTGCAAGTATGAAGTGAATAACATGCTTTTTCAATTGTATCATAATGTCTTTAAAGAAGTTTTTAAGAACATACATTTTCCTTCACTCTGTGCCTTTAGGTACAACACCACCTTAAGTTTTTAAACAATGGATTCTGTTCATCAGTGAAAAAGAACGTATCACTCTTTCTGTCCAACATGTATTCTTCAGGACTAATACTTTACTGCTATTAATAGACATCTGCTGTAAGAGACAACATATCCAGTTGTCTATTATAATAACTTACATGGTGACGTGACACTTCTTATGTAGCTAAGAGTAACTTTCCTAAATGACTAATCCATGTCAACAGCTTTTAATTTTCTTCATCGTAGTTGCCAGTTCAGTCAGCAGCGCAGAATATAAACACTAACAAAAAAAAAAAAAAAAAAAAGAAATAAAGTAGCCTTCTATCTTACTGACTGACTTGTAATTAAATAAATTTTGTAATACTTAGGATTCCTAGGGATTCCTGCAGAAAACTTGTTTGCATACAACACTGTACAACTGCCAACCTGGCCAGTTAAAGACAATATTCAGAGGAAAATAGGTCTGACTGATCCCTGCACCGTAAGATTTCCTTTTGAGTATGGCTGATCAACTCATTCTTTATCATGTTAGAAAAAAGAAGACACCATTTTTACACCATTACTTTTTAATTTAAAACATTTGTCCAGGATGAGAGAAATTCAAGATCACTATCACTGTGAACATGAAGCAGTTCAAACTGCACAGCACAGAGTGTCATAGCCACAGTTCTTGTTAAGCACTTGGTAACAATCCATCTCAGATGCCTTCTCTTCCTCCTTCCCCTTTTCTCACCCTAAACTTCTCACTCTAAAATAATTTTATTTCATTGCTCCTCATCCCCAAACTTCCTCCCATACAATCAAGAAGATACCTTTCTAATCCATGCCCTATCTATTCCAAATCCCTTCCAACTAAAGAATCCCGTATTAATGTGCCATTGATCTAAACTCAGGCTGAATACCTCTTGGATGCAGCTGCTCAGCTCCTCCAATTCTGCTTGCCCAGGGCTTGCTACTGTCACTGCCACTCTACCATTGCTACTCTTGATGCTGCTTCGTCTCACTGTTTGCCTCCTCTGTTCTTCTCTTCCCACAACACACACTCTTCCTCTGGCCAGCAGTGCTCCCTGTTGCTGACTGTCACTCTCCTGGTACTAAAGCAGCCTCAGTGTCACGTCTGACAGGTTTAACACAGGTCTGCATTTACTAAAATCCACCTGTAGACAACCCTAAGGGCAGAAGTAAAAAATCTGTTTGTGAGAAAGCAGAATGTATGGAATCCATACTATTAACGAGTCATTACAAAACTGCATAACAAGTGTTATGTGTGATCAGACTCTGTTTAACGTTTGTTTTGGTTAAACAGGCTTCTCCTCTCTCATCTTCCTTCTTCTTGTCTCAGTGTGCCCTGGCAGACACATCCTATTCAGAAGCGATGATTTTTTCCTTACCTTTTCTCTTTCTTTATTATTACTTGCCATCCTCTCTGTCTCAGTGATTCCTCTTACAGAGACTGTCCCCTCAGTAGCTGTGTTTACCCCACTTAGGAGGTTGGATGTGTATGAGATTACAAAGGAAGATATTAGATTTATTTAATATCACTTAAAAAGTTACAGTTAAGCCTTGCATGCTTCCACCTTTGAATCAAAGATTTTGTCACATTATGTACAGTGCACACAAAGCAGAGTCACTTCAAAACTACAAGCTTATTTCAGAACCTAACCCCCTCCAAAACTATTTAACAATTCATTTCCATTTGAATCTTAAACCAGTGTCCATAATCAAAATTACATATACTTTTAACATTACTTTTTAAACAACCAGAGCTTAAGTGGTAAGAGAAAAACCACTGTTGCACTGCTGGAAAATGTTCTAGTTCTCCAACACCCTGCTTTCTTTTTTTGTTCAAAATGCTTTCACAATTCAAGTACAGCTTATACCCTTCTTAACCCATTGTAAGCAGGGAACATTATACTCCATTGCAATACCTAATAACAAAGTACATTTTGTTACAAAATAATTTGCCACTATAGTTCATAGTATCTTACAGACAAGACTAGACAGTATTAAAATCCTTTCTTTCTTATATAAAAGACAATGCATTAAGTTAATGAGGAAAAGACAACACTGCTTATGGCATTAATTCTCATAATTGCTAATTTCCTGCAATAAGGAATTTGCTTTGACCTGTGAAAGAACATGAACTCCAACTATATGTGACCTCAATGTTTACAATGAAATCATATACAAATTATATACCATGGGGCAGGAAGGGCATTTTACCTTACAGCACGGATTTGTTTCAGTTTCTGCCTCTAGTTTTCAAAAAAGATGGCTGCTAACTTATTATCAGTAAATGGGTACAAAGTCCAGTCACGTGAACTGAAATAGAAGGGTGGAGGGGAAGAAAGGACAACACTGAAAAAGACAACTTGTTATACAACACCGACAGTATTTCTTGATAAGACACTACTTCACTGGTAGGAAAAAATCTCAACGTAGTTTCATGATGCCTCTATACACACGCCTAACCAAGACACTTGGTTTAGTTGTTGCTGAAGATCTCCGGTTAGGCTTTTCAAGTGCAAGTGACTCTGCATGATATTTTTGGAAAACAAGGGCAGTGTCGGGATCTCAGGTACATTTCTGCCTTCACTACACATGGTAAGCGTTCCTGCAGAATATCCACATAGCAACTTCTGAGAAACTGCATTAAAACACCTTTTAAAGTATAATTTCAGATCAGTGGTTTTCAAACTTTTCCATTTGAGGCACAGAACTATTTAGAAATTCTCTCTACATAAATACTGTACACCATAGCCCATTCTGGTTTGCGCACTTTGCAGTCTCCTAGAAACTGTATATGACCCCAGAAAATTACCGCTCCAAGGACCCCAACGTGAAAAATCATCCATTGCCCTTTGAAAAGTGCTAACTAGTTTCATACTATTCTCCTTCCTCCACCCCAATTTATGCATTTTTCATAAGGAACTTGATCAGGAAGAGAAAGATTTATGTCCAAAGATGTGTGACAACCGATGACACTGAAAATTAACAGAACCCAAGCCTTACATTCTAAATATAAAATTTTACTTTTCTTCCAGGCAAAATATTGAAGTTAACAATGACTGGGAGAAATCAAACTGAACCAATGTTTTTGAACAGCTAAGAGCAAAGTTTAAATTACATTTTCATGTGGTTCAAGAAATCAGTACAGCTTGTTCAAAGCTTTTCTCCTGTGTTTTTTCTCCCTTTACTTTAAAATAATATTGTACGGTAACAATTTTGAAACAGTTTTAAAGTAGCAATCTTTTCTCTGTCTCATATACTAATAGGGAGTGCTAGCTCTACCTTAAACATTTGAAAAACTTTGCATCTATTGTCTTGCAGTTGTTGAAAGCATTAACAAGTGAAAATAAAGACAATTTTAAAAGATCTTGTCAATCTCCCTAAAATAACCAGCCAGCTAGTTTTTAATCCCTTTGATTAATCATATTTTTTAGATAAATCATATTTTAGAACATATACCTTCATACAGACATAAAAAGCAGTACAAGAGATACAAGAGATGAGATCCAACATCCCCTGAGGACACCCAAAAATATTTGTACTTCACCAAGATTTATGTACATACAGTGCAACTCTTCAGTAATGTATAAGAATAACTGTTTACTTACAATAAATTTTATTAAAACAAATTGTTATTTAGCAACATTAATTCAAAAACTTGTGATCACGTAAATTAGAAGAAAGTAGTGATAAAACAAGGGTACGTACGCCAAAATATGGATGAACTGAATGAAAAGCAGGCTTGTCTGTGCTAATTAATGTGACAATTTGAAGCATTTGATATGGAAAACCAAAATGCAGCATAAAAAGATCTATTCATTCTAACTAAACCAGTATGCAGAATATTTCCATGAGTTAATGAGTGAAAAAACAAACATCCTTCCCCTCTCCTATTGCAATCTGAGCACTGAATGAAGACTGAATGGAGGCGTTTTCTTTGTTTGGGCTTCTTCTCCATGTTTGATTAGAAATCACTAAAGGGTGCTTTACTCAATGACTTCAAAGCTTAAATGGGTCTGAAAACTGAAATGCTAAAGGAAGGCTGCATTTAGGCTATGGTAAATAGGGAATTGCATTACCTAATAATGTATTCTCCAATGATACGGAATCTTGTTTAATGGATTATAGTATCTGTTTCTGGGGTTTGGGTTTTTTTTTTCCACATGGACATGAACACAGAGTCCAACGTTGCTTTTTTCTTTCATAATTTGATAGAAACTTTTTTATCCAGACATGTTGCTCTTCCAGTCACCAAATAGCGGATAGTATCGACTTATTTATATACAAACATTCATATGTATCACAGGAGTTCAACTCACTGAATTGGTAAAGGAAATTATTTTTTTCAATACTGTTTGGGAAGAAAAGGAAATAGAAGGATGCATAACTGAATCTGTTAGCATCTAGAGGAAGGGCAGAACTGAAGTGAGGCAGGTGTTTTGTCTCAGTTCATCAAAACATCTCTGCCAAAGCTTTGAAAGTTTAGGATTGAACTTAATCACCCCACTAAGTGCTCATCTACCAGGCACAGTGCATGTATCTTTGTGAAAACAAAACACGATACACTACTGTCTCAGACTGGCTGAATGATGATGCACATCTAAATGCTTATATTTCCACATAAATTTGCTAATGCAAACTTGCATTTAACAGGGATTCAAGTTAAATACACCAATAACAGAGCTAAAAATGGAAAAAAGAATATTCGTTAACTTCTCTGATCATAGTAAAAAACAAGGAACTTAGCTAATTTCAGAAGATATTTTTGAAGGTCACACTTATCCAGAATTAAAAGATACAGTTCTGTTATTCCTAGGGACCTTGTACAAATTGGATTATTGGATGTTTGAGGATATTTATTCTGCAACAAATCTTCAGTGGAAAAGATGTTTAAACTTCATTCTTCAGTTTAGTCCAAAACTACCAGTGACAAGTTTCAGTCTAAAAATTCTATAGCCATGTAGTTATTCTGAAGGATGTAGGGGAATCATTATATGAACTTGTGAAATCTGTGGCGTGCAGAGGACTTTGTTACGAGGAAGTCACAATGGCTTTCATAAATGGAACTCAGTGACATGGTCTAATGATTTTGGTATTTTTTTATCATGGTTGTGCTTAACTAAGTTAAGAGTTACATATAGGAGTTCAGCTGGAATAACACATCAGCTATGCCATGTAAGAATAAAAGATCCAGATTTTGTAGTCGCTATAGCCTTAGTTTCTGACTATCAAATAATACTTTTCTAAGCTACCTCAAGTCCCACACAGAACAGGGTGTTTAGAGAAAGATGGGCTTGAACACACCAGAAAAAGTATTTAATTTGATCTTCTAGATAATGTGTTTTATTGTATGTCCTGGATGTGATGAAGTAGGAAAAAGCAGATGAACATGCAGGTCCCCACCCTTTGTCAGGTCCTTCAAGAAGCAACTATCACCCAGATGAACATATTCCAAAATTGCTAGTGGGCAAGCATGTATTATATTTCCACCAACTTTAAAAAGCTTCAGTGCAGACACCACCCCGGAAGATGCTGGTAGCAATTCAGTGACAAGAGTGCCACCTACTGAGTGAAGCTCGATGCTCCCTGAAGCACTTGGGCTTTCCTCTGAGCTCTGCAACTCAAGAATACAGCCTAAACCTACCTCATTTCATGACCTCAACACATGGTGGCTAGTCTCTGGATGGCATGTCCTACTTAATTAGGATATACAGCCATCTTAGTATTAGAAGTCCAGATGAGAACATAATTGTTGGCCAAAAAGAAGAAAAGTGAGTGAAAAACAGATTATGGAGACAGGTTGTCAAACATGGTCATTAATATAATACTAATTCCCTATTGCTTGCAGCAGCCACTGGTCTAAATGATACATGCAACATTTTAGAAACAGTGATACAACAATTCATTCTGCAACATAGCTTCTTGCAGATAGCTGCCTCATCAGGCCTACAAGATAATCATTCTTCATACTTTAAAAATGCAGAAAAATCTTTCAAACTGTATGAAGAGGTATTACACTCTTCATGGGCTAGAGATGTTGCTACTCATCTCTTTCAGTGAAGTATAATACTGACTATTCTTAATTAATGAGGATGCAGCTAGAAGTGATCCATAAAGACAATTTTCAATTGGACAAGTAGCAACAAAAATTTTCAGCTCTTGGCTTGGCACAAAAATGGAGAATGACCTGACTAAGCATCAGTAGTAAAAAATATTTGCAAGGATTACAATCATTCATTAGTGAACAAAATACAACTATGGCAAAACCAGTAATGCAGTTTTTACATTAATTCAGAGGAATTCTGTATCTGGGACTAAGAAGGCAGTCTGTTAGTAGAAGACGGCCCTTCTAATTTGTAATTTATAAAACCCACAGCTACAAAAATTTACCTGAGTGCTAATCCGGAAGAGCAATCAAAATACTAAAAGAACGAATCAAAATAATAAAAGAAAGCATAACTTTATGAGGAAAAGTTAAAGGAATGAATTTTGTTAAAAAAATAAAAAAAAAAAAAAAGTAGAGGAAGAACATGGAATATCTTAGTACAGCAAAAGATTCACTGAAAGATTTAGAAGATTTTAAGCATAATGTCTGGACCGACATCTTAAGCATATACAGTTCTGTCTCAATGCAAAGAATTCATCTAGATCTTGAACATGTCTTGAGGTCTTACCTATATGTAAGCACATGAAATGGAAATTTAAGAATCTTCCAATCCTGCAGCGTCACTGTGATCAATCACTCACTTTACAGAACTCAAGGTGAAATGTTTGAGATGCACTTAGCAGATGGCACTAGCTGGCTTGAGAAAAAAAATAATAATTAGATTCTCACTAGGACTCTGTCACTTGACAGCAATAGGACTACTATGTTTCCTAATATATAACTGTATCAGCATTTACAAGTGGTGTTTCTTCTTTTACAAAGGTTTTATGAAAACAAGTATCTGTTACTGATCTTCTGCTAAGGAAATTTTAGTTCAAAGTATAAAAAGAGAAATAAGGCTACATTATGTTCTCATACACTTTGTTACAACACACTGAACCTAATTCCCCAAGGCATGTAAACATATGCTTAACTTAAACTAGGTGGACAACCTAATGAAGGGACTATTTCCTCACCCCAAAATTAGTCAGTGGCCTACGTGCTAGTGCTCACAAAACATATCTGACATCGGCTGCCCACAACAGCATGTTCTGGAGAATAATACCAGTGTGTTTGCGCATCTGCACAGCTAGGGAGGAAAAGAGGGCAGCAGGTTCAGGAGGGAAGAATTCCCAAAAGGGAATTATAACTTGGTTGAGAGGCACACTAATTCTTGCAGCCAAGGAAAAGTATTAACTCCCCTAGTCAAGAACAGTCTATCTATCTAACTCAGCTGCAATAGGGACTAAAGGCGCAGCTGACTAACTCTGCTTGGTATTGCCCCCTCGTCAGGCCCCGGTTCTCACACCCTCTCCTCTCCCCTACCACCATTTCTGCTTCCTGACCAGAGTTGCTGCTTCAGATGTTCCAGCACAGTGTGACAGCTTCTCTGGCTACATAGATCCAGACCCTCAGACTCCTAGAATCACTGCAAAACCAGTGAGGTTGTGGTACTGTACAATAGCTGCCCTCCAACAGTTCCCCTGCACTACCTAGGCTGACAGCACATTTACCCTGATCCTGTAGACATTCAGGGCTGAGTGTCAGCGAGCTCATTTATCTCTGCTCCACTCTTCTGGGTAGATACCAAATTGTAAGGTCATGCACCCAGAAAGCAGTCAGAATGTCTGAGCTCTGAAGATTCAACTCCCCAAACCTTGCTGCATGCTGAGTGGGGAACATGCATGTTAAACTTAAATGTGGAGGATTATAGATCAGTGGTTTAGAGATTTTGTGACCCAGAGCATCACAATTCCTCCTCTCTCTTTTCAATTTGAAGATGTAATTACTGCAGCCTTTGAAGAGGTTGAGCTTAGGAACACAAGACTGAAAGGGACCACTGGAGGGGTAACTGCATTCAGGTCTACGTTTATTAATGGCAACCAAGTGGAAGACGTCTTGCTCAGGAAAGCTGACAGAACGTTTATTCCACACGGCACTACAAATACAAAAAATTTCCTATAATCTGTAATGATTGAACTGTAGTAAAATGAAAAAATATAGTAATAAAATTCACGAAAACCAAAAGCATAAACAATATTTTATGCTTTTGTCATAATGGAAACCTAGATAAATAAAGTTGCAAATGATCCTACAGAGGAAGCCCACAGCACACAGGAAAAGCAAAACAAGATACAACACTTCAGATCTTATCTGGGGATGCATTCCCTTCTGCCCTAATCTTCCTGATAGTTTAAGGCTAAGTGGGACCCACCCATTAAGCACTTGAGGATTTCAATTAGAATGATACTGCTGAACACCTGAACACATCAGCTTCCTGTAGCCAATATTTTACTGGATGACCAAAATGATGTTAAAAAACTAATTCATAAAGCATAGAGGAAAGAAAATGATTCTCACTGACTTTAATGGAAAGGAAAAAGGCCCTGAAGCATGGCATTAAGCCTTCATTTCCCAGCTTCAGAAACTGTTCATTCTGTTGTACAATCCCATCAATAAATACAGCAATTGACATCTAAAAATATCTTAGATCCCTTGTTCCCCCTTGTGTGCTTGGTTGGCTTTCCAAAAATTTCACCCCTCATTGCTGCTTAAGAACCTTTTTATACTGCTTCATGTACATTTACAGATGACCGACATTTATCTTCATCACTTTGTTCTCCTGAAGCATAGCACATCATCTTTCTTGCCTTTGTAGCTAAATCACTTGTAATTGGTGGTAAAAATCAAAATCCAGAAAATGGACGGCTCTCCTCCCCCTACTTGTTTCACTGTAAGATGACCCATACGATTCATTAAAGAAGATACACTCCCTTTTGACGTATGTAATCCATAAAACATGGCTTAGATCAGCAGGTGTATGGTATTATTTCACTGCCTCAAGACATGTGCTCAGTTTCCCTTCTGCAACCATAAAAACATGAACTGAAACAAGAAAATTCACTTAATTCATATTCTTAGGGTAAAAAGCTCTTATTTGGTAACATCCAGCCCTGGGAGGGGCTTCGCTTTCTGAGGGCTTATAGGCTCAACTACAGCAACTGTTGTGAATCTCAGTTGATACCTGAACTAAATTACTTTTAACTCTAAGTCATTCCAAGTAATTTGTTACTAATAGTGGGTTTAACAGCTGTTCATGTGAATCATTGTGAAAGCTTTTAAATTACTGGATTTATTCAAGTCTTTGGATTCTTTTTTAATATTCAAACTAAAATGGATTATAATCTGTTTATCCTCTTTGCCAAGGCGCCTGTGGAACAAGAAAAATAAAGTCAGTCATTTCCATAGTGCATGATGCTCCTATCAGTGTCATAAAAATATTATAAGTGAATTCATGTTTCAAGTGCAATATGCAGTAGTGAAATAGGAAACTGCAATTTTTGAGTTGTGTTACCCAGGAAAACACTTAGGCATATTCTGAAGCTTTTACTTGTCAGGTAAAGAACTTAAGTCATAAACACTTCAGTGATGCGGAAAACTTTCTACCTTCAAGGTAAAGAAAACTCAAACATACAAAGGTTAAAAAAGGGTTATGAGGACTGTGTACATAAAACATTGTGTTTCATTCTTAATAACCCCATGGATACATGCCTGAGTATTTGCACCTTATCTCACATGGAAGAACAGTAAAAGCAAAGTGATTTTAACATAGGATTACGAACCCAGAGAAAATAGACTTGTTCCTGGTGAGAAAAAAACACTTATAGGCAGCTAATTTACAGTCGTTTAAAACCTGTATATGTACCATTAACGACATAAAAGGTAAAACTCGGCAAAGACTTATTCGTCTGCTTTGGTACGTGCCCAAATAGCAAGTCAGTCATTGAAAAATGGGCATGAAAGTTAACTGTGTTCTTCAGACTTTGCAGGATTCAAGTCTATCTGCATGACTACACATAAGTAACCCAAGTTCACCCTCCTCAATAAGGAGACACCAGGTTAGTAAACACAGAATTAACTACAGGTTTTCATGATTACTGTACCTTCACCACAGTATGCTTTCCACAACTCAAAAGTTATTAAAATAAAGTCTTCTTCACTTGAAACAGACTTAAAATCAATAAGAACAAAAGAAGTAGCACGCAAAAAAATCAACTGCACAATTTTCAATCTCAACTTTTTTTCACTCTTTAAAAAAAAAAAAAAAAAAAAAAAATGATACTACTGCTGAGATGTTTGAGCCAAGTATTTAAGACCGCTTGAATAAAACTTTGGTCAGCATTTTCACTTCTTTTTTGCATTTAGAAAACCATGGTCCACCAGGAATTTAAAGTTCTGCTTGAACTTTCATCCCATTTCATTCTGTTAGAGAAGACTTAGTCACACCGAATAAACCTAAAGTTTGTCTATATTAGGAAGATTTTCCGTTGTTTGAATGTAGCTTTGAAGAATCAAGTAAGCTAACATTATGTTGATTATCACTGATGAGCCAGAATAAAGTAAAGCAAATTGAGGTCTCAGCATGTCAGGTAACTGACTGTCTTGAAATGTGCACAATAAGATTTGTATCACAGACCACTTATCCCTAAAAAGGTTCATCTGGTCTAGTACACTTTAATTTTGTGGGGTTTTTTTTCAAGGACATTGTCTTTAGGATTTGTGCTTAAATACTCAGAAGTTCTGCATAAGCCTTGTTTTATGAGATGAACTGGTAGTTTACATGCTAAAAATATTAAGTATCTCCCCTTTTGGAGAGGGGGGAGAGGAAGGTGGAGTTGCAAGGAAGGTGGAGAAGCAAAATACTTATGCTTTTCTCCAATTAGAACACTGACTCAAGATACTGGACTGATGTAGCTTTTGTGTGAACCAGCACAGTTGTTATGATGCCAACAAATAAAATAAAAGGTGGATTTTTTAGAATATTAGACAATTAGAAAGTGAATAAATCCACCTCAGGCACAAGCAACCTACAACCTCATTACTCACTCTTTTGTAGTTTTTGCCACAACAGTTCACATTCTTACAACAGAAACACAGTCTTCCTTAGAACAGCAGAATATTACAAGTATTGAGATTACTATTTTATTTTTTTTTCCTTTTAACAGATCAACACTTTTTTGGACATACCGTATTTAGGATTTGGCCTTTCTTTTGATTTTTGCTCTGCTCCCACCTAAGTGAACTACTAAAGAAACTAACACATTTGCTGTCTGAAACAAAGTTGGAGCATTGAGTTGTTGTACAGTGTTTATTTCAGAAACAGAAGAGCTGTGTGCATTCTGAACACTCATACTGTAAAGTTAAAAAGAAAAGTTTAATCTGGAAGCACAGAACCCATTTTTTTTAAATCTGTGCAAGAACTAACAAATACATGTCATGACTACGCATGACATTTTTAAAAGACATTTAAGGCACCGTGCACAGTCTTTTCCCTCGCCGAAATAGGCAGCGCCTAAGCAGCATTATCAAACATAGTAATTTCAGATTGAGACAAGTTTAAAAAAAAACCACAACAGAGAACCAACTCAAAACTCAAAAAACTTTGTTTGAAAGTCAATTTTTATTATTAAAAAGGTAAAAGTAAAGGGCAAGGATGTTTTATTTGTTGTGACTTTGTGTCCATGATATTTCTCACAAATGTAGGGTGAGGGTTCTTTTAATGGATTGGTTTTGGGGGCAGGTAAGATGTGTAAGGGGGTTAAGTTTAAATTCAAATATGACTGTATGACATCTACAGTAAGGGCTCTAAAAAGCACCACTAAGTTGCTAAAATGGTGAGGTATTGCCCATTCAGATGAGGGCTCTGTCAGAGAAAACATGAATTGCTGAGAGGCGTACCTACAGACACGAGACAGGACTTCCCTTATTGCGAAGCCACCACTGACCATTGCCTTCACACAGAACTGCGAAGCAGCACAAATCTTCAAGCCAGTATGTCACCTTGGGAGCCTGACACAGCTCTTCTCATGTCTGCTTCCACAACCGGTGTTTCAATGATCCTGATGCCCAACGGTGGGTTACCTGCACGAAAAGAATAATAAAGGGAGGACTGATGAGGAAAAGTTACCTCTTTCTCTCCCAACTGCCCAGTTCGTGTGTCCGTGCAGGAAATTTTGCTTCATCTCAAGAACTTGTTTCCTGAACTCCAGAATTTTTTGGCCGTTTCAGAAAAAAACCCCAACATCCAAACCAACCCACAGTTCACATCAGCAACCCATAAGAGATGGGTTATACACCGTTACCTTACTCTTTTCTCACAGTTCTACACAGAACTGCATCTTTTTGATTATGTCGCCGCTTACGACCCAGCGCTAACATCACCCTTTTAAATCCCTACACGGGCACGCGAAAGTTTGGGAGGAAACGAGCTCCACGAAAAGGCCCATGAAGGGAAATGGACTTTGGTTTTACAAGAAAAAAAAAAAGGAAAAAAAAAGAGGAAAAAAAAAGAGGAAAAAAAAAGAGAGGAAAAAAAAAAGAGAGAAAAAATAAAGAGAGAGCCGGTCACTCACCTCATCTTTGACATGGACGGCCTACTGCTGGGTGTGTAGCCTGCCCCCCTCTCCCCCGCCGCTGCCTGGCTCCCCCGACCCCGCGACGGCCGGTCCCACTGCGCCGCTAGGCCCGGCCCGGCCGCCCGGGCAGCGAGGGGCCGCGGCTGGCGGTGGGAAGCCCCATCCCCTCCCCGCTGCAAAGCGACGCGCCGCCCCTCCGCCGAGGCGCCTCCCGGGGCCGTGCCGGCCGGCCGGCCTGCCCCCCGCGGCCTTCTGGCTCCGGGAGGGCAGCCAGGCCGCCCCGGGCGGTGTTCTTTAAACCTGCTGAAGATCGGGGAAGCAAGAGGAAGCGGTTTATTTCCTCCTCCCCGCCACCCCCTGCCTCTCTGTGGGTGAATTTCGCCTGGGGGCAGAATGAAGTTAGCGTGGCCGTGGGGGGAGAGGAGAAAGGCAGGTTGGGGTTAGCGTCCAGGGAAAGCGGGTGAGGAGGAGGTGCTTCCAGTTTGCAGAGCCGGAAGAGCCATGGGGCCAGGGTCTGCAGGAGGTGGCCGAGAGTAGCGAGTCCCTTGCCCTGGTGGTTCCTTGTGCTGTGCTGGGTACAGGAGAGCATTTTTCAGTTTTTAGAGTCGCTGTCACCAACTGAAAAGTCTGGAAACTACTGCGGTGGTCACCTCCCAGTTTTCGTATTGATAGACTTTACGGGGCGATTCTGAAATCTGTTGGTCTTTCATGCTGCGGTGAGATTGGATCTTGAAGTTTGAATAGTCAGTGTTACAACACTGTTGAAGTTTGTTCTTAACTATTTGCTGAATTACACCTCCTGTGGAATAATGGAATGTTTTTGTATGTGACTTGGCTTTGGAAATAGTATACGTGGATTATTGCACAGGAAGCAGCTTTGGATGTGGGTGAATTCCTAGGAAGTGTGAACTTAAGGCATGTGCCTTCCTTCTGCAAAACCCAAATTGTTGCAGTTTCTGGGAAGACTGCTGTGAAGTCTACTGAGCTGCTCTGTTTCCAAGAAATGTGCACTTTTCCCTCCTTCACACCTGTAACAAGTGAAGGCAAGTCGGTTATCATGGTTTTAAAAAGACACTTCTTTACTCGCACTAGCACAAATAGTGTCAAGCATTTAGAGCCTTTGGTTTCTATATTTCATCTGTCCTCTCAATACACTATGAAAAACAGTGATTAAGATGAGTTGTTTTAGTTTCATTTTCAGTTTCATGACTGGAGTCTCAAATAGCCTGGGGTTATGTGTTGTTTTCTTTTGGTTTTTTTTTGATTTGTTGTTGTTGTTGGGTTTTTTGTTTGTTTGTTTGTTTGTTTTAATCCACAACCAATTATTTTAATTTCATTCTTATTTAGAACTTTCAGGAAAGTATTTTAGTTACTCCTGCTTTTTAGCAGAATTTGAAAATCTGCTTCACCCAAAATACTCACCTGGCCAGGATAGCCTAGGTAAGCAGTATGAGTATTTAAGCATTGTTATGGATAGGTAAGGTATCTGTACCAGTTTAAAGTGAATTTATTATGCACAGGTATTTACAGGGTAGGTGCTTCAGCTTTGGACAATATTCTAGAAACTAATGACGTTTTTCTCAGATGCTGTCCTGTCCATATTTAAAAATTGCCTTTCTGTAACATTCCAAAGAGGCAAAACCAATACAAGTTGAGGTTCTGGGTCATGTTTTGTTCTCCAGACTCCTGGGGTTCATCCAGTGAAGAAGCATGAAAAATACTCTAGCAACGTGTTTGCTGTAAATCTTCTGAATAAGACAAATGGTATTGATGTAAGCCTAGATGAGAAATAAGATCCCCTTTAATTTTCTTATGAAATTTTTGATGCCACGTGTCACATCGAAGATGATAAAATGAATTGCATATATATTTCTAGAATCTATAGAAATATGTATAAAATTGCTTCCTTTGAAAGAGCACAAACAACATTTTCAGTATTGGATATCTATGACTATGCTTTTGTATCTTTTTACCGTACCTTGGTAGCTGATTGCATTTTTCAGAATCTGAAGCTCTAGGTTTCGCAATGATGTTCACAACGATGTAGTGTCTGAAAAAATGTATGTGGCTAGTTTTGGTATTTTTCACCTAAACATTGCTGATTTTATAGACCAAATATTAATTGATCTATAAATGATGAAAAATTGATCATTAAATTGATTTAATGTAATGTGCCATGAACTTGCTTTCTATAGCTGACATATCAGCTTCTGATTAAGGAAGGTAGGATATCTTCTGATAGGAAGATTTCCAAAAAATTCATGAATACTTCATAACTGTGAATGTAAAATCCTTAAAAGAGGTCTGAGGCACTTAAAAGAATTTTGAATTTGGAAACAATCCAAGAGTTATGCAATAGAACCTGCATCCATATACTTTGGTGGCTAACGCTAGGCTATGTGAAAGCATTGCTAAGGCTGATCGTACGTGACTTTACCTCCCCCATCTCTTTAACATAATTGAGACTGATTACGTTGTCCTTGAGTCCCACCTTGATATATCAGTTTACCTTCAATAGGGAAGTTCTTGCCCCTGAACTACCAGTAGAAGTACTTCATCCCTTTAATTCAGAGTCCTTCTGTATCATTATTTGAAGTGTTATTTAACAGCCTTTTTTCAGCACTTACAATCAATGCAGTTCACCCATCTTCTGAAGTTTTCTCCTTTTGGATTTCCTTCTCTTTCCCTTCAAGCCATTGGATGACATCTTATGTTTTTTGTCTGTCGTTCCAGTTGCCAGGAAATTAGCACACTGGAAAATAGTGCTCTCATTTAGAATGTAAAATATGTGAACAGCACCTGTAGACAGCTTTCTATTTAATAGGTAAAATTAATTGAAGGACTTATTTGTAGGAAACTCCAGCTGTAATAGCAAAAATAGCCTTTGTGCTATTGTTCTACAGCTGCATCCTGCTTTATTATACATATGCAGCAAAATTTAGTTATCATAGTTTATAAGTGGTGCTCACTTCACTATATAGTATAAACCAGAGGAAAAGGAATAACTTAATTTTATTTTTTGCTGTACTGATGTATTCTATTTTTATATTAAAAAAACAGCACTCTCGTAGTGTTAAATTTCTTCTTGCTTGCCTACAGCAAATCCTAACAATAAATGCTCAGAACTCATACAGGAGATTGCTTTCTCTTAAAACACTTTAGTCTTTTCCTACAGAAAACTACTGTTCTAACGGCTAGAATGTAGTATAATTAGAACTATTAAACCTACTTACATGTGCACTTATCTGACACACACAGTACTGGGTTCGGTGGCTAAAATAAAAGAAGAGAACAGAAGATAGAGACTTTTGATACTTAAAGAAATGCTTTTGTTGTACTGTTTAATATCCTGTCCTGGCGTTTTAGCATATTGTAAAAACATACAAAACCAATGCTGAAGATACAGAAGAAAAAAATTATTGAATTTGTACAAAATATACAACTAGAGTAATGCCACCTGGGATCTATCTTCGCAATTTACTGCATGGGTTGTATTTTGAGATATGACAAATGGTTTTGTGACATAATCGTGGCCAATAGCTACCCCACCACCAGAACACAGATAGGATTGTATGTTGCCTTTGTTGATCTATACCTAAACTTGTAGGGGACTGAAAATATTTTAAATTAGAAATTATATTCTCCACAAGCTGTATGTGTAATACTAACCTTTCCTAACTGACCAATGAACGTAGGAAAACTGCTGCAGAGATAAGATGTTTCTTAGCGTTGTGCTTAAAGCTGAACTAAAGCTAAATTAACACACAGAGAACATGACCATGACACTTTAGTATAGAAAGTTTAGTCATGTGTTTATTTTTGTTTAAATTTTTGTTAGGACTCGTGGTCATTTTATGTAAATTATTATCCTTGCCAGTATCTCTTAGTGTTGTGAAACAGCATTTTTACATAAGTTAATTCAGCATATTCAAGTAGATCTAAAAGATTAGTTTTGCAAGGTGCCTTTGCCATAACTCAAAGTCATGTTGGACTGTACTGGCACAGGTATCTCAGCTTGTTCTGACCATTCACAGAGGGGTAAGAAGTAGTTTAGGCAAGTGGGATCAGAAGTTGCTGCTTTTGCAGCTGCTGTGTTCTTTGTGTGGAGAAGACTTCTGGATTCTTGTGTTCCATTTCTAAGCAACTCCCTCATGGCTAGTCATACAGGTAATCTCTGGTCTGTACTATAGAAGAAATTAACTTGCAGTTAAATTCATCACAGTGTTGTGAGATTTGCAAGAGGTTTGGCGTGTTTTCTTTCTCCCCAGTGTTACCTACCGATTGCCACAAGGTCAGAAGTCAAAAGTGTACTCTTACTTTCATTTCATTGCAGAAGTTGCCTAGGAGATTGCTGTTACAGGAAAACTGGTAAGAGTTCCATGCTGGAGTTTGCTTATGTACATGCTGTCTTTTATTTTACAGTGTGAATGGGAGGTTAAAACAGCTTCCTATTTCTTCTGCATCAGAGCAAATAGCACCAATTGAACTAAACATCAGTCCTCTCTAGATTGTCCTCTATTATGGCTTAAGTGCAGGAATTAATCTTAGGCTGGCAATCTTGTAAGCCTATTTTCGTCTTCTGGGTAGTGAAAACTTAGTTTCTTGCCATTCTCCATTTCCATCTGATTTTGGGGAACAAAGAAGGAAACAAAAATGCTGTCTTCCCCATGTGTTCTCTGCTTGTATCTTGTTGCAAAGCCAAAGAGATTAAGGATATTATTAGATTAAAATACCTCATAGATGCTTCACAAGCAAATTTTGGAGATAAGTAAAACTCATTGAGACTTAACTAACCGTAAATAGAGTAAATAAGATTTGTCATATGCTTGAAAGCTAACATTTTAATTTAACAGCAAGGAAAATTTTGGCAAGAACATAACGAATGTGCTAACCTGGAGTCTAACTTCTGTTATTCCCATGATTGATTTACAAATTGTCCATCCACATGGTTGCTTGTTGTTTGTGGTTAGAATAATCCAGAACCAGAGTTTAGTTCTTTTTTTTTCTAATTCAGTTTAGTGCTTTTTTTTGTAATTTCTGTAATGGTTAGCACATTTCAAAATGCCCCAGGCAGCATTAGCATGATCTTTTATCCCCCTTGGGGAATTAACAGAGGAATGCTCCCAAACTGAAAAGATCTGTGATTTTATTTTAATAGTGCACATAAATTGCACACAAATACAATGCATTTTTGGTGCATATTTATTTATTTACTAGTTGCACCAGACTCAAAACTTTTGGTTTTAAAAGCAAAAAATAACAAAAACAAAACCCCAAACCAAAAATGCTAAGTAAATTTAATCCCAAGAGATTTCAAATTTCCACTGTTAATCATGTGGCTTTAGTTTTTGACTCTTAGGCAAATTCAATTGTAGAGAGGGCCTTTAGCAGCGGAGAGATATGTTTTGAAGGTCCTGGGACCTTCAAAAAGGGTTCTGTTTAGTGATTTTAAAGATGCACACAGCAGTTCTAAAACACAGCAGTTTATAAAATCGTTTATAAAAATTGTTCTCTTTCTGTGCCTAAATGCAGATTTTCCAATCTGTTAGTAGGTGATAAGGTTTTATATTTGTTGGCTCCATACGCTGTTGTGTGTGTAAAGTTCATTTATTTTGCTTTGAATGTAAATAATAAGGTGTCATAAATGGAACAGAATTTCACACAAAGAAAAGGTGCATAGAGTTTTCCCTTGTAATAGTGCTATTTCCAGCTGCTGCATTCCAATTTTCTTTTTACTTAAGAAGAAAAACACCATTAACAACCCTGGCTTTATTATTCTGCATACTGGCAGTGGTTATGCTGTATGCCATCTTGGGCCCAACTCTGCAGCTCTTGTTCTGAGTAGATGTAATTCATTCATGTAGCCTTGTTGTGAGTTGGGTAATTAAACTCTTGAGAGGGGAATTTTTAAGGACACCTTAATTTGTCTGGGTAGGACAGTTTACCAGTAAAATTCTGCTCTATGAGTTCTGCTGGTAAATTTTCTCTGAGAGACAGTCTTATTCTTGAATACTTGCATTTATACTTCTAATATTAGGGTGTGTAGGTGTTAGTTGTTGTTATTATTATTAACTATTTTTTGACTTTTAAAAATTATTTTTAATTGGCAACAGACCTTAATGGTGATGACAATTTTCAGAATACGATAGTTGCTCTTTTATAGACCGGGAACTATGTTAACTAATAACACAAAAGCAATTAAACTAAATATCTTCCCTGTTCAAACTTGATACCTACTGCTTTGATTATAGACAATTGATTTTCTTTTGCATGATGTAGAAACTGTTCACGATTGTTGCTGCTTCTGTTATGTGTTTCTGTACCTTCTGTATTGATCCTCACTTCTTTCAAAAGGCTACTGAGAAGTATTTATTTAACCAAGATAATTTTTACATCTTATAATGGTTCTGTTAGAAACTCCTGACCTTGATTTCTCCTTTTCCTTTTTCTTAATAATAATGATAATAAAATCAGTGTGATCCAAAGTTCATTGAATTACTGCCAACCTTTATCAAGATTTTCCTTGGTACTTAGGGGAAAACCATCTTGTTTTATTTGTCTTACTTCTGACTTCCTCTCCTTCAATAACCAGTAAGAAATGGTTGTCTCTGTTTCTTGTGGCTCTTTTTTTTTGATGACCGACAACTTTTTTTTTCCTTTTTTTTTGGGGGGTGTGTATGTGTGTTGAATATATTGCACATCTATTGACAGTATAAATGTTTGCTGTTTGCTGTCTCTGTGTGCTTTCTGTTCTTGTGCAGCTTTAATAATTTTAAGTTCATCTTATAAGTACTATTTTCCAGTAATTCTGATGCTGTAATTTGGAAAAAAATTGCATCAAAGCTGACACTGCTCTTTCCCAAGTGTAGTTTTGCTGCTGTTATATGTAATAGCTGGTTTCTTTTTAAAATATATTCTTACTTTTCTTCCTCCTTCCCTTTTGCGGTACATGAAGTATTTTTGTAAAAGTCATCAAATAAGTCCTAGTAGACCGTGTGTCTCTGAAACAGGTTTATTTCTAGTACTTGGAAACTTTCCTTTGGGCACCAGTTATGTATCAGCACTCCAGATATTACTTTTTCCCTTTGCTGTTAGTTTTTGCCTCTGCTGTGCCTGTGTGGGCTTCTCTTGGACAAGTTTCGTGTTCAGACTGTCTAAGGATAACGCAACACAACTGAAAGCCCAGTTTATTATGTGTCAGCGCATTCTTTCTATTCGACATCCGTAGGAATTTAAGCATGACCTTTGTTATTGTATAATACGTAAGGCGTTATACAGTGTCTCATTCTCCCAGCTCATTAATACACGTTCTCTGACCTGGTGTAATGGTTCCAGCAGCCCCTGTGTAACCTCTGCTCTCCGCAGGACAGATAGGGGCTAGTCCTTTGCATCAGCCCTGTGCCTGCGGGTGCTGAACTGATTGGGTTTGCTGCCAAGAAGCTCAGCCCTCTCGTTCACTCCTGGGCATTGCCTGTCTGCTGTGCATACAGATTAGTTCACTTGGGTTCTCTTTCACGCTGTCGCCATATACTGCAAATTGTCTGCTCAGGTTGGGGCATCTTTTTGGGCGTTATGTCTTTAGAATTGTGTTCTGCTTCAATCTGTCCATTTGGGTATAATGTAAACTGCCACAGAGTACGTAGTCAACCTAATAGACCCTTATTTGATTACTGACCGGTCATGAGAAGAAGTGTCTTTGTTGGATTAGTTTGTTTTATGAGTTGGATGCTGGTACTGTTCATTTGGGAATATTTCTAATGAAAAAGAAAAGAATTTACACTAATACTGCAAGAAGAATGGAATGAAAGATAATGTATGTTTAATGGAACAATTGGAATTATAGTGTATCAGAAGGGCTGAAGTGGGAGAAAATAATGGGTTTAAGGTGGAACATAAGTACACTGAGACAACTTCATTTGAATAAATTGTTTTATGGTACAGATTTTTTTTGGTTTTGTCATTTACATACAGAAAGCTCCTTTAACCTGTCTTTTCAGGGCGGAAGAATAGACCCATGTGTGCCTGTAAAGTGGCATAACCTTGGATAATACCATCATTCTGCTACAAGACCAATACTGCAAAAAATTACACCATCTGAAATGGTGGATCATTCTATGCTAGGACTGAATCCTCTCTATAGCATTATATTGGTATTGGAGTAACAAAACCTTATTTGCTTTGTGGCTCAGGGGAGATGGAGCCACAAAGAGTGTATCACAATGCAATAAATTTCTAGTCTTTAAAAATTAAAAACAGTCTTTCATGGGGTACATATCTCAGGAAAATGAAAATATTTGGGCCACTAAGGTATTGTAGTTAATTGCTAATCTGCTGCCTAATAACTTGCATTGTTATTATTGTTGTAGATCATATTTTTATGATATTTATCCTTCTTCCATTTTTAATTTGAACTTCTTCATTTTCTATGGATGAAGAACAGCTAAGAGTAAAGGACGAGATGTAGTGTTGCTCTTCTGTTTTTGTGTGTTCTAGAACTTCAAATTTTTTATATGGTACTCGATTGCAAATTGTACATGATTGTAAAATTTAGTTTCTTAATATGTTTGACCCACCAATGACTTTGCATAGTTTACTGTTTATCATGGCTTTACCTTTTCCAAAAAGAAAGTGAACTATTCCTCTTCCCTCTTTTGGATCTTGTTACAGAGAGCAGGTAATTAGCATGTGCACTTGGAAACACTGTAGAATACCAAGACAAAGTTGAAGCTCTAGGTTCTAAGGGTTACGTTAAAAAAAGAAAAAAAAAAACAGTTTTGCATCTTTATACCATTTGTTATACTGAAAAAAAAACCAAAACAACTAGACTGCTCTCTTAAAGATTTAAAAAAAAAAAAAAATTGGTTTTATCTGCTAATTGTATTCAAAGTGTTAAAGAACTTTTGGTGTGTTTTTTAGCTGTCTATTACCTGAGTCGTCATACTTTTAGAAACAACTGCATCTCCTAAAAACCTGACACTATACCACTGCATGATTTCTGGGTGGCTGTGATCTGTCACACACAACCTGCTCTGTCCAGACTGGTCCCTGAACTTCCCTGAGAGGAGAGCTTTCTGGAGTCTGCTTGTAGCACCATTATCGCTTGCTGTCCAGACCATTTTTTTCCTATGGAAAGCAGGATGGTGAAGAGAGGAAGCAGTCTACATATACGTTGGGACAAGATTTGAAATAACATGGCCTGAGCTCTTCGAGATTCCAGGGTTTAGAAATATCCTATGAGTTCCAAAATGGACCTACTGAAGTAAGCATACTTTTTAATGTTAGTGTCAACAACATAAGAGTTTATCCCAATACTTATGTGTATATACATATATTGCGAATATACTTTGTATAGCAGTCTTCTTGTGACTTCTTGGTCTCTGAGAAAACTTCTGAATTTTGATGGCATCATGGGAAGTGTCATAACATTAGGAATTTTCTTCTTTTATACTTATTTTTGTTGTTAAGGTTTTTCTAAGACTATACTCTAAATTCTGCAGGTAGCATTCCTTGGATATCATTCCTTGAATATTTTATGCCTGCGTTGCTTTTATCTCAAATATATTTCATAAATAGAAGAAAATCTGTGGAGTGTTCATCATAATATTAAGCTTTCTGTATATGCTAATAAATTATTTTCTAGTTATCTATTCATTTTACAGACTTCAGAATCTTTCAAGTAATATTCTTTCAGTTCAGAAATTTCCAGTGCCCTACAAAAACCTACAATTCCTAGATAAAGCTTTAGAGGTATAGGGGAATCCATTTCTTGTGTGGGTATGTAAGGAGAGGATTTCTTCCATTCAAAATAAGATGAGGGTCCTCTCAGCAAGTTTGCAGACAACACCAAGCTGAGTGGTCTGATTGACACCCCTGAGGGATGGGATGCTGTCCAGAGGGACCTGAACAGGCTAGAGAGGTGAGCCACATGTGAACCTCATGAGGTTCAACACAGAAAAGTGCAGGGTCCTGCACCTGGGTTGGAGCAAACCCTGATATCAATACAGGCTGAAGGGATTGAGAATAGCCCTCTGAAGAAGGACTTGGGTTTACTGGTGGACAAAAAACTGGACATGAGCTGACAATGTGCACTGGCAGCCCAGAAAACCAGACATATCCTGGGCTGCATCAAAAGAAGCATGGCCAGCAGGTCAAGGGAGGTGATTCTGCCCCTCTACTCCACTCTGGTGAGACGGAGGACTGTGTCCAGCTCTGGAGCCCTCAGCAGACGAAGGACATGGACCTGTTGGGGCGAGTCCAGCAGAGGGCCATAAAGATGATCAGGAGGATGGAGCACCTCTCCTATGAGGACAGGCTGAGAGAGGTAAGGTTGTTCAACCTGGAGAAGAGCAGGCTCCAGTGAGACCTTATTGTGGCCTTTCAGTACTTACAGGGCCTACAGGAAAGACTGGGACAAATTTTTAGCAGGGCCTGTTGCTCTAGGACAAGGGGTAATGGCTTTAAGCTAAAAAAGGGTCGATTTAGACTAGATAAATTGAATAAATATTTTACAATGAGGGTGGTGAAACACTGGCACAGGTTGCCCAGAGAGGTGGTAGATGTGCCATCCCTGGAAACATTCAAGGTCAGGTTGGATAGGGCTATAAGCAACCTGTTTAAGATGTCCCTGCTCATTATAGGGGGGGTGGACTAGATCTTTAAAGGTCCCTTCCAACCCAAACTATTCTATGAATAACAATAATAAGGTAGAGGCCACTGTCAGAATTCCCTTTCCTAAAAAAAACCAGTTTTAATTCTTGGATAACTTCATTTTATTTATTTTTAACTAGAAAAGTTTTAAAGCTCTGAAAAATGCAAGTTCATAACAGAAGTGATGACAGGCCGACAGCCCTGTAGCAATGCGACCGTGAACCATGTCAACCTAGCACAAGAAAAAAGCCTCCAACTTCTTTGCATCTGACAAGCTCAATGACTAAAACTGCCCTTTACATTGTAGAGGGTAGACTGCAGCCATGTTCAACAGTGTTCAGCTGTGTTTTCTTTGATTGCAACATTTCATACAATTGGATTCTTATATAGGTAGTTAGACTTGCTCTTCAGACAAGAGGAAAAAAACAAAAGGCTTTTTAGCTTGTTGATGGAATACCAGATTTGCATTTTTGTGCAGTGTTCTGTCTCGTTGAAAATTACTATCCACAGTCTATTAGAAGGATGTAGCCTATGGTGTGTTTGCCTGTATTCAGAAGAGAAGGGCCTTTGGTGATCAGCTGGTTTATTATTATTGCAACTTGCATACGGCCTAAATTTTTTTTTCTTACAGTTAGGAAACATGTAAGTAACATGTTTAACTGGATATGCAGCTCTAACTATGAGCCAAGAATGTGGTAATGCCTCTAACAGTTTCAAAACAAAATGAATCAAAAAGGTGTAGCCTTAGGACTTCATCTTTTTTTCTAAAAGTCATTTAAGTTCAAGTGGGTCAGTTCAGTGTATTCAGCAAATGAAGCAGACGGTTTTTATTTTGCTGATTGTAAGTTTGATTTTTATATCAAGCAAAAGGTAATTACTGGAATGGGTTAGGAAACTTATTTATTGAACAGTGTCTGTTACAAATGGCCTATTTCAGAGTTATTTCATATTCAGGCTTTGGATACTGCTGAATATGGATGTCCATAATTGTTTTCATAGTTATTGTATATAGTTGCATAAGCAATGTGTATGTTAATAATTTCTACCTATCAGTTTTGCCACACCTTGTCAGCTGTGAATCAGACTAATTTTTTTCTTAATTTCCTTAAACTTCTCACCCCTTTTTAACTTTGAAGCTGCCTGCAATGCACCTTCACAAAAAAATTCATATTTACACGCAGAATTATAGCAAATTGTTGCTATGGAGAAAATAATTTTTTTAAAAAAAACTAATTTCAGGTTAGTTACAGTGGAATTGGAAATGTGTACCTCATTTAACATATTTATATTGAGAAACTGTGAGCTTGTTTGTCTCTTGCTTGCGCCATTGTGACTTAATTGATTTCAGTAGATTTGTACCTAATTCTGAGTAGTGAGAGAAAGGCTGCTTTTTTTTTTTTTTTTTTTTTTTTTTTTTTTTTTTTTTTTTTTTTTTTTTTTTTTTTTTTTTTTTTTTTTTTTTTTTTCTTCTTCAGTTTTGGGATGTAGGGAAAGAAGTTGGGGCTATTTTTGGAAATAAAGGAAAAAATCTCCTCTTCTCTGGTCATTGAGTATATACTTTGCCAGCCTGTCTTTTGCAAGCATTGTTGCAGTAGAACTTAGCACACCCCAGTGAAGTAACTCCTGTGTCATCCTTATTAAATTGCAGCCACGGGAGAGTGAAGCTGCTTGTGTCTCAAGATATAAACTTTGACCTCGGTTTGCAGAACTGAGGTAGAAAGGAAGAAAGATTGAGTGAAAGTGGAATGAATCCTAGTTCGCTTCACAATATCTGTTTTTATTTTTAGCGCATTAATCGTATAGAAGAATGAAATGATGGACTAAAGTTTCTTTCACTGTTTGAGTCTCTGTACACATATTTTTTATTTCATTTAGTAGGATACACAGCGGTGTTTCTTGTAACTCCAAGCTGTCACACTCAAAACAGAGTCATAACATAACATTTCCATTATGCCCAGAACCACTCTCTAGCAAAATAATATTCAGCCTCTCCCCTTTGAGGTAGCTGAAAGTATAACCTTAGTAGCTACTGTCAGAGAGACTTGCTCCAGCTTTCTATTTCTGCTGTAGTCCTCATGTGAATTGGGTTCACTGATGTGTTAGTGAGATCCTCTGTCTGAACCTTTTTGTAATCATTGCATTCTTCCAGGATTGTAATGTCAGTAAGTTTTATGTCTTTTTATAAAATATCCATGGTACTGTTTTGTTATTTTCCCCCTGTTTTAAAAAAGAAATAGGAGAGTTTAGGTTTACTGGGTTTTGGTGTTTGAAGACCCTATGCTGTTTAGAATTGTTATAAAGAGCTAAAATAATACTAGATCAGTTTGATGCAAGTACAGGACTTAAGAGCCAGATCTGTTCTCCATTGCCTCCTCTCTGCTGAAAAATGCCACTCTTAGAAAAGCTTTAAAAGCTAAAATATTTTACTTGAAAGTTGGGACTGGGTCCACTACATCCACCTTTAAGTACCTGATGTGTGCCAAATTTTTAAGTGTTCTCTGTAGCACTTCTACTAAAATAAAATAATTTTTGTGTGCAGTGAAGAGAGTGATGCTTTTTTTTTAGTCCAGATGTAGGTCCCTGATGTGGTTTCAAACTGAGGTGTTTTGAAACTCTTTCACAGTTATTTTTGCATTGAATGTTTAATTTTGAAATGTCTCCTCCACATTTTACAGGAACTGTAGTTGATGCCTTGTATTTGCATTTGTTTTTCAGGCTTCTTAATCAGTCTGCACCTGCCATATTAAGTAGAGACTTTATATGATGGGAGGTAGAGTTCTTGGGCATATCGCACAACCTTGCATGACAATTTTCACAACAGAAGCTCAGCTCAAAAAATGCTGATAAGATTTTTCTAGTTCACAAAGGCTAGCGTATTCTCTAGTGTGATTGTATACACTAGTACTTCTAGGTAGACTTCATCTATGCAGAGAGGCCATAGATTTTTCAGCAAAATTTCAAATATGTGCTGGGAGGAAAACTGTCCAGCTCTTCAGCAGAGAAGACTGCTCTGTATGGATGCAATCCTCCTGTTTGAACTAACTCAACTTTGATCCAGCCAGATGCACAGCAAGGAGGCCTAACCAAAGTTAGTCCTATTGTATGAGGCTATTGGTGAGAGCTCAGCACCCAAACCAAACCAAAACAGTTTGGCTGGAGGCTGAGCTGATAAGCAGCTGGAACTGCATTAACAGAGCAGAAAAGCTGACTAGAAATCAACTACTTCACATTATAAATGACTGCAGCCATTAGGGCCCGTTGAGGTCTCCCTCCGTAGCAGTTGGCTGTGCTGCAGTGGTGATCTCCCCTTGAGTAAGCACACCTTTCAAGGTTACCCTTTGAGCCTGAGAAATCCCTTAACTGACACCAGACTTTGATGAGTTAGTGATATTTTTTACATGGATGTAACATTTAAGATACATATAGTAAGCTTAAGTGATAATTTTTGCATCCCATACTAGCTTTAAGTATAGTAAATAATAATGACCACCAGTCCATCTGTACTTATTAAATATTTTACAGACCTAAATTTACCGAGTAAAACTCAATATACTAACTACTAGCTTATCTGTCTGAATGATCTCTGACACTTCTGCAACAATCACCTGGGTAGAAGTCATAGAATCATAGAATTGTTTAAATTGGGAGAGACCTTTAAGTTCATCAAGTCCAACTGTTAACCTAACACTGCCAGGTCCACCATTAAACCATGTCCCTGAGCACCACATCTACACATCTTTTAAATACCTCCAGGGATGGTGACTCAACCACTTCCCCGGGCAGCCTGGTCCAATGCTTGACAACCCTTTCAGTGAAGAAATTTTTTGTAATATCCAATTTAAACCTCCCCATGCGCAACTTGTCTTGTAACTTTCCTCTTGTCCTGTCTCCTGTGACTTGGGAGAAGAGACCAACCCCCAGCTCTCCAAAACCTCCTTTCAGGTAGCTGTAGAGAGCAATAAGGTCTCCCCTCAGCCTCCTTTTCTCCAGGCTAAAAAGT